AAATTTACCGTTATATGGGAGGTAGGCGTGGTTATTGTCCGATTTCGCCCATTTTCAATACTATCCGTCCTACGCCCAGAAAAAGTCCACGTACCAAGTTTCGTTACGATATCTAAGTTTTTACTCGAGTTATCGTGTGCACAGACGGACGGACGGACGAACGGACGGACGGACAGACAGTCACCGCTTAATCGATTTCTCTTTTCATTCTGAGCATTTATGTATACATTTGTCTATATCTATCTCGATTCGTTTTGCCTGTTACAAACAACCGTTATGTGAACAAAGTTATAATACCCTTGTGCACAAGTGCGCTCGGGTATAAAAAGAGTATTTGCTCGTGAGAACCACCCTCTGGAGTTTGTGATAAGCATACATCAGTGGTGCACAGCGTCGACAGAGCTACTAATACCAGCACAACATTTTTGTCTTAGCATGCGTACACTAGCCCAAGCAAACTAACTCGCTGGTAGCGTCGCAACTAGAGATGGGCACGGGACTAAATATTCAATCTCGATCCAGCCCATCCCGAAATTAAATTTCTACATTTTACGTTTTTCTAAATTGTCCCGCGGGTCCCGAAATCTATGACTAATTAAAAAAAAATTTTTGTTATGGTTTGCTGTTCGTTTTCGTCTAAAAAAAAAAAACATAAAAAGAACTTATTTCATTAAACGTTTTAAGGAAGATTTTCTGAATTTCCAAAGAATGCAGGTTTTATCGGGAGTGTCGGGAAAGGATTTTGGTTCCGTCCCGCCCGCAAAACTTTAAAAGAACTTCCCTATACCCGGCTCATCCCGGCCAATTTGAAATCAGTACAATGGGTGGTCGCATACACACACGACTTGTATGTATGTGAAAGGTGAGTAGATCCCGGAGACTCCTGTGTGCACCACTGGCCTACATTGTGCACAGTTGACTTGGTCGCCTACTTGCGACACTTCATTCGGTTTCTGCTACGATGCGTAAGTTCAAAGCAAACACAGTGAAACAGAATTCATTAGTTCAAAATTTATTTCCGTGAGTGCAGCAGTGCTAACAGTGCTATGAATAGTATCGGTGAGTTATATGTATATCATACCTATGTTCATATACCTATTAACCGGCTTAAAATATTTCCCAAATATTTGTAATAAAGTATGTATAAGTACATAGTACGAATGCTCAATAAAAGTCATCGATTGATATTTAAATTCGATTTTGTGTCTACAAACTTCTCAGCCTAAAGGTTAGGCGTGTTGGTGTGTATTGACTACTAAAGAAGTGTTGCATTCCTATAATGTGCTGCTAAATTAATAAAATGTTGCTGCAATTTACTTTTTAGTAAAAATATATATGTAATCGAAATTTCATGTTCTCGGTGTGCGGAAAAAATACCTGAAAGCAGTATTTACAATAGGGGGTACATTTTTAATATACATACTCATAATTTTTGTTGTGCTACTCTTCAGTTTGGTTCAAAAA